CAAATTAAGTTTACAGATGATGCCATTTGACTTGGGGCTTTCTAAATCTTGGAGTCAAAGTCCGCAGGGGGATGCCAGAGGCGCGCGTTATGTTTCTGAGAAGACAGCATAAAATAGGCGTAGTACCCTTCGCCGCGCCGCCGCGGGGGAGGGCGGATAGGGGATACGAGTCTTTGACACTGCTGATTGCGATTGTGTATTTATCCTCAAAACGCCTTGCCGCGTCCGCTGGGCCTTTGCCGTCAGCCAGGAATCGGCTCTGGCTGAGGGTGGAAGGGGGCGAACGGCCCCTTTGAGCGGCGGGCTGCGGCCGAATCTGTTTAAAATGCTGTGCCTAGTCTTGGGTTTCGTCACAGCCCTTATCGGGCATCTGGCGTGCCGTCGGAGGGGCTGGACCTGCTGCACCACAGATCCCTCCAGCTGCTGGGTGGAGGAGATCCCTGGGAGACGCCGGGTCACGATCAGCGGGACCTCGCTGAGGAGGTGAATGTGCTTTGGGAACATTCAGCAGCCCGTTTTCTGCCACAAGATGTGGGTGGGTTTCTGCTCCGGCGCTGGTTTGCTCACCCCTCGGCGCTTTCCCCTCTCTGTAGAGTTTCGGTGCTGGTGGGGGATGCGCGGAGTTAACATCGCTAGTCTTCCTCTGGGTATGGCGGAGTGTCGAGATCATCCCTCTGCTAGGATTAAAAAAGCGTGTGAATTAGTAATCTTCGTTAGGTGGTGGTCCGCTGCGAGCTGCTCTTATGCAGCAGACACAGACCCTAACTAGGAATTCAGCGAGGTGTTATCAAGGGAGACTGACTAATGTTATTGACTATTGCCTATACTATTGACTCTTTATACTCTTTTTATATGTGTGTGTATATATGTATAGACTACAATATGAAATTTTAAAGTTGAAGCAGGTACAGCGCTTGGATAGAAGCAGAGTCCAAGCTCAGTTCGTGAGGGTGAGAGGAATTCAGAGGCAAAAAGAACCTGCAGGAGCTTGAGTTTTCACTAAACAGAAGCTTTAATGTCAACCATACAACATACTAGGTTTCAGGACGATGGCTCGCTTAGTCTGCGAGAGTCCGGAGCTTCAAAGCCTGATGGTCAGGCTGCTGGTGTGGATGTGGCAATGCGTCCTCAGTGCTACTGCCGTTCCCATGGCCTCGCAGGGCTGAGATGTTTGGTGGCTCCACGGGGAAAAGGCTCCTCGGTCAGCCTGAGGTGGCATCTTAATCCTCGTGAGGGTACGTGAGTCTTCCGGCCAGCCTCTGTCCTCAGACAGCCTCTGCTGTGAAGGCTGGTTAGTCTGTGCAAAGCGACAAGCGCGGAGCGTTGCCTCGGGAAGCGCGGCACGCGGGTGGGACACCCAACAGCCGCCACACCACGTATGCACCAAGTATACATGTATCTATACAGCCCACTTACGGCAGACGGCTTGCTAAGCCTGCGGGAACCGTTCCACTTCTTCGTAGCGAATCACAGGTGAATTTTTTTTCATTTTGGGGCTCGTTGCTGCTTGGTGGATATTGTGTGTACGTGTCTGCGAACCAGCAGCTCTTGGTTGCTCCTGTCAGGAAGGAAAGCTGTTGCCCCGTTGAGAGGGTAAGGGGCGAACCAGCCTGGGAGATCAAAAGAAAGTGGAAGGACTGGCTGGGGTACCGGCGTGGAGAGCAGAACGGTGTCTGAGGAGGTGAGTGGGTGACCAGCCGATGCCACCGAAGCTTTACCTGGCCTTCGCTCGTGCGGTCAGCCGTTGTCACGCAAAGCTGTGGCTAGCTCTGCTCACCGGCTGGAGGTGCATGGCCAGATTTGCTGGCCTTGCTTGCTTTAGTCCCAGCCCTATTAGCATAAAACTGTGTGTTTTTACAAAGCTGAGTGCGGGCTGTGCTTGAAGGGAGTATCTGGAAGTTCACCTGCCTGGCTCTGTATTTGTCAGCAGAGAGCAGCTGGATGACAGGACAGCCAACGCAGGCATCGTTAGCAAAGTGAGCTCCTGGAGCGCGCTCCTCTGCTTTCGGAGTGCGTGCTGGAGGCCAGACCTCCTTGGGATTTGTAACTTGTAAATAAGATCCGGTTAGCGAGCTTTCTCCTTTACTTTGGGTGAGGAATCCTCCTCTGCCTCTGCCAGCTGTCTTCTACTTGCCAGCTGCTCTGGGGACCTGGTGAGGGACTGTTCTGAGAGGTTAAGCTTGAAGAGCAACTTCAAAAAGAAATGAAGTCATCTTCCTTCTTGTCCTACCCCCTCCAAGCGAAAGAAGAGCCTAGGAGAGAGGGACACGTAGGGCAAAATGCTTTGTGGCACAAAGCCTGCTTTTTTGAAGCCCGCCTCGATCTGTTCTGAACCTCTGTCCTGCCGGTTCCCGTCTACATATTTGATGAATGATCTTTAGGTTATTTGGTTAATGACGGATTTAGACTGTGAAGAGCTGTCCTGACTTGGTAGAGATGTCCCTGCTCGTGGCAGGGGGGTTGGGCTAGGTGACCGTTGGGCTAGGTGACCGTTGGGCTAGGTGACCGTTGGAAGGTCCCTTCCAACGGTAAGCATTCTATGGTTCTATGACCCTGTGACTCGGGAGAAGAGGAGTGGCTTAGCTGTGCTGTCATTCTGGGGGGAACTTCGTTGCCTCCTGTTTGTCCCTGTGTCTGTGGTAGCAGTGAACGTGCTTCACTGCACTGGGACTGAAGAGGACTTACTTCGGAGAGGTCCTGGTGGATTGGAGGCGGAGGAGGGTGAATTTCACTCGGTTTTCTGTCCATCCTCGATAGGCTGCGTGTGCTCTTGAGCACCCAGCAGTTTGATCAACAGCAGAGAGCACCTCAGGGATGGTGATAACTATTGATGCATAGAAAACAGCCCTGGAATTTGCTTGCAGAAAAAGAGCAGGTGAGTAGTTTAATCAGAGTGAAGAATTTGTGGTGCTTCTTAGAGCGGGACAGTGGCGAAACGACCTGTCAGATTTGAAGTGAAGTTGCGTAAACTTGGAACAGGAACGTGCCTGCGTGTTGGGGGAGAAAAATGCCGGAGGGTAAGTGAGAAAGCTGCTGGTGCGTGCTCGCCGGCGTCCCTGGCGGGCGCGGAGGATGCCCGCCGTGGTGCCTGCTAGCACCGCTCCGCATTGCGCTCTGCGGCTTGGTGCTGCTCAGCGGAGCTGGGGAGCTGGGAGCACCAAGGCCAGCCGTGCGGTATCCGAAACACTCCTGGCGTGGGGGGTCTGTGGCTTTCACCGAGGTTACACCCGTCCTACGTGCGTTAAACGGAGAGCGCTTTACTTTGTGGCTTTGTGAGTGATTTCAGAATCTGGCTGCGCATCCTGCTGTTCACTTCCTTCTTCCCCACTCGTCCCACGTTTTTAAAGCGTCTCTCGCAGCTGGCTGTCACCCTGCCTGCACTGTCCGGGAGGTTCTGTTTCTGCTGGCAGCTTCAGCCAGGCTGTGGGTGCGTAACGCGCCCTCGCCCAGCCCGCTGTGTTCAAATGCTGCGTTCGCTGAGCTGCGCGCCGCTCGGGGTCTGCGTCTGCCTGAGGTGCCCAGGCTAGCACCATCCTTGAAGTGAGACTGAAGAGACTGTTAACTTTTAAGCAGAGTGTTTTATTTCCAGGGGTAAGGCTGGGGTTTTTTTGTGATGAAACACGATCGCGCGTTTTAGGCAGAAAGCCGGATCTTCATCCCGCTTTCCTATCTCGAGATATCAGTAACCTAAATGAATAGACAGAAACTTGCCCTACCTGCTCGGGGTGAACTTGGCGTCCGCGGCGCTGGCGGGGAGCGATGAATCAATGGCGTTTGTTAATGGGTCTGTTTTTTCACAGGTTTTGCAGTGCTTCCCGAGCATGAGTTCAGAATGAAGCGGCGATTGGACGAGCAGGAGTCACCCGTGTATGCGTCGCAGCAGAGACGTATCACCAGCAGCACCGAAGCTTTTCCACACCAGCACCGCGTGCTTGCCCCGGCACCGCCGGTGTATGAGGCCGTTTCGGAGACCATGCAGTCGGCCACGGGGATTCAGTACTCGGTAACTCCCAGCTACCAGGTGTGTGCGCTCGCCCCTTGGCCGCATCTTGGCTGCGGTCCTGCCGCGGGACCAGCCAGCACCGCGTCATTTCACGGCAGAATTCTGTGTTTAAGACAGGGTTTTATTTTAGTAACCAGGGTTTCCTGAAGAAAAACTGAGATTGGACAACGTGCTTATCGTTCATCTCATTTTAAGCTCTCGCTTTAGGATTGTCGGCTTCATTCGTGTTCAGAGCTACCTGAACAAACGTGGTGTGACTTGGCCTTCTTGAACACAATTCTTTTAATAACTATCTCCAGTCGCGGTCTCTGAATCCTAGAGCCAAGTGTGTGCAGGGCTTTTTTCTTTTTTTTTTTCACCGGGAAAAGGTTTCTTCTTAGGGTTGCTCTGTCAGAGGCGTATGGTATCTTGGGTGATCTTACGCCTTGACAGACTGGATCAGATCAGCATTTAGGCTGGAGACTTTCAGGAAGCTTGAAATGTTTCAGAAAACATTACCCCAGAGTCATTAGGTGGCACTCTGCCCTCTCTTGCCTCCTTTGTGAGGAGCTGGCAGCCAGGGAGAGGGAAAAACGTACTGGAAGAGTGCGCTGGAGATACCTCCCGGGGAGAGACCAGGGAAAGGCTGTTCCTGCGTTACTTGTCTTTGCCACGTTTCTGGCATGTTGCATCTTCCACGCTTGCGTTGCTGGTGTGCTGCCCTCCCTGTCTAGTGCCTAATTTTACGCACAGCTTCTTCCTTACTTCTGCAGGAGGGATGTTCACGCTGACAGTAGCAGCCGCAGAGCTGAAGAGCCTGCAGGCAGACACTTGCAGGGACTGGAAGACGACGTGTTTATGCTGGCAGTCCTTCCCAGAAAGAACTTGGGTGGACCAGCAGGCAAATTGTTTCTTGTTCATGGGAAGGATTAAGAAAAGTATATTCCATCTAAAAGAGGCCTGAATAGAAAACAAAGTTTGTGTAAAATGAAAAGCTATTGGTTTTTTTGGTTTTTTTTTAAAGACTCTTTTAGTATATTGTCCAAATTGAAACTTTTCTGGTTTAATGTGTGAAGGAGGCCTGAGAAGTGCACGCCTTCTGTTCCTTTCCCAGGTTTTCTAGGGGAGATACCGAGCTGAGTTTTCCCCTGAGTCTGCTGGGGCCGGAGCATCACACTTTGACTTCCAGTACCCAAACTGAACGGCAAGAGCGTGGAAGCTCTTGAAAGATTTGTTCCTTCAAATTATTGCATATGGCACAAAGTGGTTTGTAGAGAAAAGCGAGAACCTTGACGCTATCAGTCTAAAAATCCCGTTTCACGCTCCTCTTGCAGGTCTTTGTGTTAGTGGCTGAACAGCCAGCGAGATGCAGGCTGGAGAGGACCTGCGTCTGTAACGTGTTTGCAGAGAGGGCTCTTCTGTGTTGGGAGCGTAGTAGGAGAGTTGTCTGGTTTCGGTTTCAGGTCTCTCTGGGTCATTGCTGAAGAAAACAGAGACATTTTTTGAGTAAGGTTGTTAGCAGTCATGGTTAAAGGTCAGACTGACTGTGTTCTGCTTCTGTAAAACGTGACTTGTGTGCCAGGGTCTGGGCCGTGCCGGTGCAGGGCCAGCAGCAGTTCCAGAGGCTCAAGGTAAGGCGCGGCGTTGCTGCCTTCGGTCACCCGGCCTTTTGGAGGGGGTCTGCTGTCAGGCAAGAGGGGCTCAGCCAACTAGCAATAGGACGAGAGGCAATGGCCTCAAGTTGCATCAGGGGAGGTTTAGATTGGATATTAGGAAAAATTTCTTTACTGAAAGAGTGGTCAGGTGTTGGACCAGGCTGCCCAGGGCGGTGGTGGAGTCCCCATCCCTGGAGGGGTTCAAGAAACGTGTGGATGTGGCACTTTGGGACATGGTTTAGCAGGCGCGGTGGTATTGGGCTGACGACTGGACTGGATGGATGATCTTAGAGGTCTTTTCCAACCTTAATGATTCTATGATTAATTGCGTGTCTGAAATGAAAGCACAGTTAAACTGGCTATGGGGATGCACGAGTAAGCTCCTCTGCTTCTGGGTGAGAGCAAGAGGGACGGAGAACGTCTATCTACACTGAAGACATATTGCACTAAGCGCAGAGAAGACTGTCCCACATCGCCTTGGGAATCTAATAAGCTTCAGCGAAAGTTTTTGTAGCAGCCTGGAGGAATGGAGAAAGTTGTTGAAGTTATTTCTGACCTGACTTGTGGAATTGCTAGGTCTGTGCCCGAATCCTGGGGCAGCCGGGAAGCTTTTTCTGTTTGGTGTGTAGGGGAGGCCTCTCTGCAAAGCCAGCCTTTGTGACAAGGCTTAGATGCTTCTGCTCAGAGGGCCACTGAATGCATAAAGGGACTTCTCCTTCTGCTGAAACCCTGTTGTTTCAAATACTGGAATAAAAAAGTGGACTTACTAGGAAAAGGAAGAAGTATGGCTCAGAGCATGCATACGAATGGGTTAAATTACCAAAAAATTTGGTGCTTTCTGAACACATGGCTTATGTGGGTGGTTGTGTGGGCGTAATTTGGGAGTAAGGAAGGCTCTATTCTCGGATTATGTGCTGTAAAATCCTTAATAAAAGAGACAACTCTGCCAAAAATAACCCATGTAAGTAGCTCCGTTTGGTTCGGCTCTAGCGAGAAGGCACGTACGTATGAACCGATGCCTATTTCTTAGTCTCTTCCAAACGCGGTGCCGGCCTCTTCCAGTGTTGGTGGAACCCACTGCCTCGCTGGGTGAGAGGCCCGTTCCTTTTGCTGAACGTAGGATGCTTCATTTCTAGACACCTCCAAAAATGACTTCATGATGTGGGGTTCTTTCTCCCAGTGAAACTGGTGGCAGATCCTCTGCCGACGTGAGGCTGGGGCTGTACGTAATAGTCTTTCTTCCTTCACTGCCATTTAATCTCAGACGAAAGAGAGGTCCTGTGTGTAGCTCTTGCAGCTGGCGAGCTTGTGGCCCAGCTGTCGCAGGTGACGGGGACCCCGAGTTCTCGCTTTAGGCTGGGTCTGTTCCTTCAGTAGGTCTGAAAATTGGCTGTTGGTACACGAACGGTTCATGAAGTTCTTGCTGTTTGAGGTGTAAAACAATTTACCGCCCACAGTTGCCATTTTCAAAATCCTTCTATGTCGAACTGAAATGTCTGGCTTTTAGAAAAAAAGTGCAAGCGTGTACCTGGCAGACATCTACTACACTGAATATGTCATTTCCACTTTCTGCTTATTCTTAGACTTCCATAATAATTTCCACATATGAATGCAGGAAAAATACTCAGTCTAGTTCTGTTTATCCTCGCAGCCCCTTCAGTGATGGTAAATTTGGAGTATGTTTTTTTGTTGTTTTTTTTTTCTCTCTGAGTAATTCTGCTGATCTATGTTGCTTTTTTTCCGTTTTGTTTCTTTTTGGTACAGTTTTATCTTGTGAGCCAGGAGTGGGGAGTGAGTATCTCTTATTCAAATAGTGCTGGTAGTACACTAACCAGGCTTACAATCTTTTGCTCCTTAATTCCCTGCCCAGGCTCAGGGCTAACAGCTGTGTTTTCAAATAATGCGTGTTTTGCAGAACAATGGGAGGTGAAATAAAATCTGCTCTGCTAATATAACCTGTCTGTTCTGTCTCCAGGTGGAGGATGCCTTGTCTTACCTGGACCAGGTGAAGCTGCAGTTCGGTAGCCAGCCACAGGTCTACAATGACTTCTTGGATATTATGAAGGAATTTAAATCTCAAAGGTAACAAGCTGTGCTTTGCTTCTTCCTTCCAGGTTAGAAAGAGTGTGTGCGGGCATAGGAGCACAAAGCAGGAGCTGGATTCTGTCCTTCCACGTGCAGAGTAACACACCTCTAGCAGCAGTGTAAAAGCAGTGGTGTGCTTCCTCGCCCGAAAGTTGAACGCGTCCCTTGATTTCTGCCGAATCTCTGCTTAGAGTGGGAGCTCACAAGTTCAGCCTTGGTAGCTGATTCATCTGGCTGTCTGGTTGTCTGCCCTTTAATAATGGGCAGATGTGGGACTAGATCTCCTAGATATAAAAAGCTGTCTGGGCTGATAAAGTAATTCGAATGCCGTTCTTAAGTTCTTGTGTGGAGAACTCTGTGCACCACTGAAAGGGTCTTAGAGGATCGTGACGTTTTGATCTTATTCCTTCTTCAGTATTGACACTCCAGGAGTGATCAGCCGCGTGTCGCAGCTCTTCAAGGGCCACCCAGACTTGATCATGGGTTTCAACACCTTCTTGCCACCTGGTTACAAGATTGAGGTGCAGACAAATGATATGGTGAATGTGACAACGCCAGGGCAGGTTCACCAGACCCCGGCTGCCCCCCCCCGCCCCCCGCCCCAGCCACAGCATCAGTCGCAGCCTTCGGCGCAATCGACCCCGACACCAGCACAGCCAGCGCCGCAGCCTCCGCCTGCCAAAATCAGTAAGGTGAGAGGCTTTGGGTGACATACCTCGATAAAACGGGGATCCTGCTGCCTCCTGATAATGGAGCTAGAGGATGAAAAAGGAACTTCCACGCTGCTTTTTCATAGTATTTGTGAACACTGCGTGGTTGTGCTTCTGCTACTGGATTAGTTCTCTTTTTCAAAAGTTGCTCAGAACATCTGGTAAAATGTGCATGTGCTATTCAGGGAGCAATCTGGGAGCCTTGGGAAAAGGTCCTGTTTGACTTTGCGAGAAGGGCTTCCCAATTAAAGCACTGGGCACACGTTGGACTGCCTGCTTTTGTGTATGTTTTCATAGAATACCTGAAGTCCCAAGAAATCCCCCATAAACCAGAGGCCGTGATAAAGATGTTGCTCTTGCTGTGAACGTTAGCATGTGATTTCAAATGCTTGGGGCAGTTAAGCCTTTGGAAGAGCCTGATTAGTGACGTGGTAGATTCTGTGTTGATGAAGTCTTGCATTTGGATTGGACATTTGTTGTACAAGAGTACTCTAGTTCAGTCATCGGTTAGATGGGCAGAGGAGTCATTGGCAAGTTGAAAAGTGCAAGAGTTCAGACAAGAGAACGATGATATTGCCTTTAGGTATCAGTCTGTGTGTCTGAAACGGAGACCTTTCCTTTACAAAGGGAATTTGACTCTCTGCTTTAGATATAATCCAGATGCTGGTGTCCAACAGATGTATTTAATGTGATTGAAAACAAAATAGGATGATATAACAGGCATTCAGGGAGCTTACTCTAGATTAAATATTATATATTTCAGCCTCAAAATGTGGGAAGATGTGAGAGCCTTAGGGAGGGAGAGAATCCCCAGAGTTTCACGGGTTCATCTCTAAACTGTATGATTAGCTAACGATTGGCTGGAGTAGAAGGAAAAAGGAATATGCAGTTAGAAAGCAGCAGGATTTAAAATGTGGCAATGAGATGATCTCTAGAGAAACATCGGTGGGACTTGCAGCCTCCTGTTCAGAAATGGCAAAGGAAAACGTGCTAAAAGATTTGCAAAGCTGAAAGCTGCAGAGCTAAGGCATTCCGGAGTTAACTTACCTGTACCAGATTTCAAGGTTTTTGCTCCGGAGAAGTAATACGTGCTCTGAGTGAAGAGGTAGCAGCCTCTTGCTCATCACTCTGGGCCAAGTGGTTTTCTCCCCGTGTCATCCTGCAAAGAGTTGAACTGTTCTGTGACAGGATGCTTCTGGCTGTCCGAAGACAGGTATCTACACTGCCAGTAGGGAAAACTCTGCGTAATCCTCAGTTTGAAGTTTGGAAGGTGACAGGAATGAGTGCTTCCGTTTGCATTTAAAATTGCCACTGCAAAACTGGTGATAAATTTTCCTGTGGCTGTTGGGTGTCTATTAAGAGTATTCAGAATAATTACTCCGAGAGCCTGGTCTGCCTGCTCTTTGTCTCAATATTGAAAGAAATTCCAGTTTTCCCTTGCTGTTGCCTGACTTTACGCATCCCAGAGTTGTTCGCTAGGGGCGAAATAACTTGCAGAGCTGGAGCAAGCCATGCCTGTGCGTTTCGGCGCTGTTAAATTTTGGAGACAGTATGTGTCAGATTTCAGTCAAAAGCAATTAGCAAGGAAAACCAGCTGTTAGTGACAACAGCTCTAATGGTCCCCGTGTTTTGTCTTCCTGAGGAATTGTAGTCTGTGCTGGCCCACTAAATTTTTATCTGTTTATTTGCTTTGGGTAATGGTTTTCTTCTGCTTAGTCTACCTGTGTTTGTGCTCCTGTTAATCTTTAAAACCCAACTCTGGCTGTGGAATGGTACTTCTCAATTTTGAATCTTAACAGCAGTTTCTGCTTGGACAGCCACTAGGAAACGTTCACTTTGTGGAAGATATTGTTAAAGTTCTCTGGACCTGTAAAGGGAATAACTGTTTAGCAGCAGTTTAAAAGACCAGTCTTTTAAGGAGGCACAGCGAAAGTTGTCCAGGGCCGGTATAGGGGTAGAGGTGGTTTGACTGGGTGTAGCAGCAGGAGATTTTGTCCACTTGATACATTCCAGCTCAGAGGCATCTCTACAGAATCCATGTCGTTCCACCATTATATGCTGGGCCATTTCCTCTGGATACGGTCTGTATAAGAAATAAAAATGCCTTTATTCCAAACAGAAAGGAACCTGCTAATTTCTAACACGGCTTCTTGTCTTCCTAGCCGTCGCAGCTGCAGGCACACACCCCCACCAGCCAGCAGACTCCCCCGATTCCACCATACGCATCACCGCGCTCGCCACCGGTCCAACCTCATACGCCTGTGACAATCTCTCTGGGAACCACACCATCCCTGCAGAACAATCAACCCGTTGAGTTTAACCATGCCATCAACTATGTCAACAAGATCAAGAATCGGTTCCAGGGACAGCCAGACATCTACAAAGCCTTCCTGGAGATCCTCCATACGTATCAGGTGAGCATTACCTGGGCAGACTAGAGCATATATATGTATGGTTATTTCTCTGTCTTTGCTGTGGGAGCTAACTGTGCATGCCCAAGACTTGCCTTTGGGTCTTCTGCTGGATTCATATTGGCCAGCAAGCTAAGCAGCGTTCTTGCAAGTTGAGAGGTTGCGTAGAAGCATGAAATAGTAGACTTCAGTCCAGCATCTTCATTTGCAAGCTTTTTTTAAAATCCTGTTTGGCGTTTTTCCATGGGCATGGATCAGGAAGAGACAGCATGACTGTAGTACTGTGTTCAGAAGTAAAGAAACCCCTTCCTTGAGCAGGGTCCTGCTAGTCTGGGGCCAGCTGGACACTCAGTATATATAAGTACATATATTTAGTATATATAAGACTTATGCTATTAGTACAGTATAATTCTTCATGTAAGATGCTGAGACCTTTGCTGTTTCATTCTTTCTATCACTGAAGGGGTTTTTTTGTTCTTTGTCACTTAAACATAAACAGTTTGTGTGTCCTTTCTTCTGACGCTTCTCCTCGTTCCTATGACAGAAAGAGCAGCGCAACGCCAAGGAGGCAGGAGGGAACTACACGCCAGCTTTGACCGAGCAGGAGGTGTATGCGCAGGTGGCTCGCCTCTTCAAGAACCAGGAGGATCTGCTCTCGGAGTTCGGGCAGTTCCTGCCCGATGCCAACAGCTCTGTGGTAAGTCATCTTGGAGATAGACTGGAACTGAAATACCTAGCAGAAAACTGTTCTGTGCTTAGCCAGAGTTCAGAAAAAAATGTGCTTCTGCTGTTTGTTTCTTGGGGTTTTTTTTGAGTGATCTTTTACTGAGTGTGGGAATGGGGTCAGGGTGATAGACTCTGTTTTCTGGCCATAACTTGTCTTTTAGATACAATCCCTTTGCCTAAAAGGGTTGTTCTAAGACTGCGATAACTGCAGTAAGATACATTGGTCATGTAGAGCTAGGAGGAACAGGCATATTTTTTTGCCTGGATGCGTGGAACTCAGCTCTAATGGTCTTGTGGGTTTCTCTCTAAATAAGCTGTTAAGTAAGACAACTGCAGAGAAAGTGGAATCGGTAAGAAATGATCACGGTGGCACGGTGAAGAAGCCACAGCTCAACAACAAACAGCAAAGACCCAACCAGAATGGCTGTCAGATCCGACGGCACTCGGCAACTGGAGCAACCCCTCCGGTGAAGGTAAGAGCTTGTGCTGCTCGGTCAGCAGCCCTGTTTCTCCCAAGAGGCTGTGGCACAGTGCGATGCCTTTTACAAGTCTGCGCGATTTTTGCGGCGCACGCTGCAGCTTGAGAGAACGGAAGCTAGTGCTTGCCTGTAGAGGAAACGTTTTAAAGTCCTTGTTTCTGAGCGCAAGGCTTTGTCGCTGATTTTTACAAACTGGTGGTGTTGTCTGTACCTGGGGATGGTTAAATAGTTACTTTGTTAGGATGCCGCAGAACGCGTGGGGGTAGTTTTATTGGTTAATAAAGCAGTGCTTGGTGACGAGGGGGAGGTGCGGAGGTAAAAGTCTCGGCCAAGTCGCATAATAAATTTGTCCAAAATTTGCAGCGCTGTTTCTAAGGCACATCGGAAGATAAGCAGAGGAAAAGATAAAGGTGTGCCTGAAAGCTTCCTTGTAGTAGAATTTAGAGCAGATGCGGTGGAACCGTGTTTGCTCATCTTTCCAGTGCTAAACCTTATAATAAAATGATGAATGATTATTCTCTTAGCAGAGTTTGCCCTTTTCAAATGACGCACGTTTTGAGGGAGCGAGGCTTTGTAGTGTAATAAAAATGGTCTCATGGCCAGGTGGTTTAGCGTTTGTGCATCAGGGACAAGTTCACCTGCTTTACTTGAAGGTGGTGTATCTTGCTTTTTGATGAAAAGCATTAGCACGCGTAATTGTGTCATTTAAATCCAGTGATTTACTCCCACTTCTGCCCTTTCTCCTCCCCTTCAAATAAAGGGCAGCAAAATAAAACACATTTTGGAGGCAGTTTTCTGAGGATGTGGAGTGCAGTGCTGGTGTGGGGAAAATAACGGATCTTGCAGCGGAACACAAGAGAGAAAAACAAATACCATAATTTTAGGGAGGTGTAGTACTTGAAGAACTGGGTTAGTGATAGGGAAAAAAAACAGATTTATTTTGCTAATTTTGCAGACTAGTTAGAAAAATGAGATATGCTGCAACCAGCGACTGTTTCAATCAACTAGTTACAGAAAAGGATACAACAGTGTATTCAAAATATTTGGAGTCCTATGCTACTGGTTAACCGCTAATAGAAGAACTTGCAACACACACTTCCACGCAAGTTTCCTTCCAGAAAAGCCACCTTTCTTTGTTCGAAAGCGAATGGTGGGGTCAGGAAGCTGAAACCCTTGCATGATAGATAATCAAAATATCGCAACTTGCTCTGCTGAACAGCCCTTTTTTTTTTTTTTTTTTGTTAACAGAAGAAACTGAAGCTGCTTGGTTTAAAAGACCAGTCTTTGGTGGAAGCCAGCAAACATGGTGTGGGGACAGAATCTCTCTTCTTTGAGAAGGTGAGAAGCGAGATTCAGAGCAAGCGGTCTCGCGTCGCTGATTTGTGTTCTTAGCGTGTGTACATCCGGATCTTATCGCAGGGAAGTATGTGATATACATACCACCCTGATAACGTTTGTCAGCTTGGCCTCAGATGTATCATGCGACCTCGAAGTCAGATCTGTTGGACTTTTTTAAAAGACTGGTGGTCTTTTTTTATGTGGGTGTTTGTGTCTTTTTCCCCAAAGGTCGTTCTCCAGCTTTTCTCCCTCTGCTGATGCAGTTTATTTGCAGGAATGGGAATTTTTTCCTATATTGCGCTCTCCAAACTTTTTTCGCCTTTGTGAAGTCCCCGTACAACTGACGACGTGCGTGGCGTGTCTCGCCGTGTTGGCACAACTTGCTGTACCCATCTGCAACCAGCTGCCTGCAGTGTGGGAGCTGTTTACAAAGCAGCTGATTCATGTCGGCGTTGGGTTTTTTTTTCGCCCGAGAGATGAATCTAATTAATTGCACAGTCATTACCTGTTGCTGGTTTACTACACAGAACAGAAGAAGGATGTGTGGGGTGTTTCCAAGTGGTACCTTGGTGTCTTCCCTAAGAAGTCCATACATTTCCTTATGGCTCAGAGGGGAGCATATAGCAAATGTAAACAAGCCTTTCAAGTAATATCTGTGTGTTGATGAAAGTCTTGCTTGCACTGTGATGATGTGGTGCACTTTGCAGCACTCTGTAGACCAGCTAATGGTAACTGGGAACCAAGCTCTTGCTCGGAGGGTGTGTAGGTGTTAACATGAGTAAACCTAGAAATCCCTGCTGTAGAATTATAACCATACTGACGAATATCTTAATGATGATAGATCTCCGTCTGATGCGTAGATGCTAACTGTTCTCATGGGACAGGTAATGGTGTTGGGATGAATTGCTGGGTCTCCTAGTACCGTGAAGATAAGGGTTACAGAAGCTGGCTTATCTGTGACAACCCAGGCTGTAACGCAGGCAGAGGCCGGCGCGGTGTTACCCAGGGTGCAGGTCTCTTACCCCGGCTCTCTACTTGCAGTATCTTCTGGTGTTTAGAGAGGACGATTTGTGGTGCTGCAGTTACGACTGACGTTGTCCACGATTCCAGCATTTTGTAATCCATCTGTTAGGGGGTTTTTTGAGGAATTTCATTCTTCACTTGCAACTCCGTTCTTCAGAGTGATGCACTGGGTGCTGATGTTGCAGAGCATACCCAGCACGGAGACGGCTCACACTGGTATCTGCTTGTCTGGCCCGGCGTATGGGGGGGAAGCACAGTGTTAAATCCAGGTCTCCTGGACAGCAATAGCTTGATCTCACCCTGACACCAACTGTTCTCCTCTTTTCTTCTCTCTATAAGGTCCGCAAAGCTCTACGGAGCACAGAAGCATACGAAAACTTTCTTCGCTGCCTGGTTATTTTCAACCAGGAGGTGATCTCCCGGGCTGAGCTCGTGCAGCTCGTTTCTCCATTCCTGGGGTAAGTGGAGCCCGTTTCCTTAACGTGAGGTGGGAAGTTTGATCCACTTGGTCTGTTCCCATTGGAAAGCCAGGAAAGAAGTGCTAACCTGTGTGGTCTTTGAGGGGGAATGCATCTTGTGTGGTTGCGTGGCACGGAGGAGGAGGAGGAGGAGGAACACCGCTCTGGGAGCTGGGAGGTGGTTTCCTGGGCCAGAGAGTACATCTGAGATGGAGTCTCCCTGCGCTGCCCACTTCCTCCGCTGCTGGTTGGCTCAGCCCTTATCTGGATAGCCTGCCACTGCTTAATGGTCAGTCCACCGAATGATTGCAGGAGTTGCTTCTACAGCAGAGCATTCTCTGCCATCTCCCATTCCCTCCAGCTCCGCCTGAGTGTCACGGATGCACGTGGTAAGGTGCCAGGGAGATACTGGTGCATCTTGGAAGCCCTTCAGTAGTGTGCAGGTGCCATGTGCTTTAGGCTTTCAGACTTTTCCTGTATTGGAGCAGGACAAAAGCATCCCGCTTCAGTTTTCCTTCCAACTTCATGCTCTTCTGCGCTGCCTTTTTTTCTAGTCATTATACAAGAGGAGGTGAGAGAGGCATTCCTAGCTATGTCTTGGCAGGCAAGCAGCATTCAAGAGCAGTGCCGGTACTGCTTGCTGTGTTTCTTCCTTTTTCAGAAGAGCAAACAGAATTATTTAGCAGCTTGTTATTGCAGTCTCTTGCTCTGGAATCGCGGACTGTTTCATTTGAGAAAAGACTTGACTGCCTAATAGCATAGGAAATGTCTCCTATAAAAGAATGCTGGTATAAACTCACTGAAATTTCCAAAAAGCAACTGAACTCTGTCATGAAGCCAAAAGTGATACAGAATACTATAGTGTAAATAGGAATTATGGGTTCTGTAATTGCCAGTAGTGTACAGAGCAACTCTATATAATATAATCAGCTAGAACCAACCAATATCCTCTCATCAGCTTTCGGCAGTAAAATTAATGTTCATTCTTCCTGTGAATTGAGTTCCTTCTTCCAAGGGAGAAGGCAATAGCAACGTAAATTGGGTTCGGGACCCCATTACACTACCTGTGCAAAGAAACTGCCCCGAGGAGCTTCCACTCTCTCTGTAGCTCCACTGGAATTAGTCAGGCATCAGCAGGATGCTAACTTCAGCTAGGAAAGGTGAAATATTTGACAAAACATTCCAGATTTCTCCCTCTACTGTCTGTGCTCCTAGCTTTAAGGGTGAATATCTGTGTTGGGAAAGGTACAATACAGTTTTCTTATTCTGGAGTTGGACATTCATGTAATGAAAAAGCAATAAATGAGCAGTGATTCAATTAGCCTCAGTAACAGGTTCAATTCCTCACGTTGCTGGAGCTTTGCATGAGATAAGAGGGGTTGAACAGAAGCAGTGTTTTAGGCTAATAAATTCTTCAGAAAACTTTTCTCTGCAAGCAGGCGACCTTGGGCCTTGCAGACAATTTGTGCTGGCCTGTAGTCTGGCGAGGAAGCTCTGGTTGAAGCGGTTGCTTGGCACTGAGACTCTTTGCCATGTAGTCACAGAATCACTTTCCAGTTTCTTGCTGCTTTTGGAAAGGATGGGTTTCTTTTAAGGTTAAGAACGTTGGCAAACAACTGGGGATCTGGCCTGGGTTTGCTGCTGGGGTGGTTTGGGAGACCCAAGTGTGGCCCCACACCTCGCAACAGGTGCTCCCCTTGCAGTGAAAGCTTTGGCTTCCTCACTGGTCACTTGTCCCGCGGGGACTGTACCCACGAGGGGTGGGGAGGATGTCTGTGCTTGTCTGTGTATCCCTGGCAATATCGGGGGTGGTCCTAATGCACCTTAGTCGCACCAAGAGAGCAACCCACCACCTGATCAACAAACAGGTACTTGCTTCCCCTTTGATCGGGCTCTGTGGAAGTGGGACTGAGCAGAGAGGGTCCTCTCTCACCAGACCGATAATTCAGAGAGTCTTCTTGGACACAGGCTGCCTGTAGCAATCCGTTCTAGCCTCAGCATCACAGCTCGGCGCTGTTTGGTTTCTACTTACTTAGTTTTTCTCTTAATTCATTTTATTTTTAGGAAATTCCCAGAATTGTTCACTTGGTTTAAAAACTTTCTGGGGTATAAAGAGTCTGTTCACATGGAGACATACCCGAAGGAACGGGCTACCGAGGGGATTGCCATGGAGATAGACTATGCCTCCTGCAAAAGGCTGGGCTCCAGCTACCGAGCCTTACCCAAGAGCTACCAGCAACCCAAGTGCACGGGGCGGACTCCGCTGTGTAAAGAGGTAAGATACTCTCGGACAGGAATTACGTGGCAGAGGAAGGCTATTCCTGGCCTGCTTGGAGGGATGGAGCAAGGATGAGCGGAACAAAAGAATAGGCGGGGGAATTTATTTTGTATCCCTGCACTGGGCTGAAAGGTTCCTGGGGACGTCGGGGCACGTCGGCTCTTGTGCCGTGGAGCTGTGCTGCTGCCTGCGCCCCAGAACTGGCGCTGGGTATGGGTCTGGGGCCGGCGGCTGCCGGGTTAGCACTGATCCAGCTCTGTGCCGCACCGCTCCTGCGCCCAGGTGTGTGCGGGCACACTGTCCTGGCTCGGGATGGCTGCGGTACATGTCGGAGCCCGAGGTGAGCACACCCCGAGGTGTGCCTAGGGGTGAGTGAGTGCCAGCACCCCTGCAAACATCTGGATGGTGTCCAGAAGCTGTTGCATGGGGCAAGGCTTTGGTCTAGGGATGAGTTAAGCAGGAAGCTGGCTGGGAGATACCCACATGGCTTTGATGGTTGGCATCAGCTCTTCTCCAGCGTTGCTCGTGAAAGGGTTAAGTAAAGCATTCACTGGGGAGCAGCTGGAAAAAAAACCCAACCAAATAGTTGTGATGTTTAAATAAATTAAAATATAGGGTTATTAGATATGTGTGTTTTATGTAGTGTAACGTGTGAAAAGAACATAAGGATTACAAACTTAAAAACTCTTAAGTAGGAAAGGGCAGAACTATTTTTTTGTATGGTCTTAGTGCGATTTCGGGGATCTTTTACAAGGCAGTACATAATTCAAGATTATTGCTACCTTTTTAACCAAATTACCACTTAGTCTGCTTTCAGAGTTGTCTCTAGCCCAACTTTAAAAGAAAATAACATTTTCTGTAGACAGATCCTCCCACGTATCACTCGCATGCTTCTTTCTTTCTACCTGAAATGCTAAGAAGACCTCTTGTCTTCAGAAATGGTGTGTTGCCTTGGGAAATGGGCTCTCTACAGGGAACCAGCCTTCTTGGCCAAGAGTCAAAGATGGTCTCCCAACAAAGTCCTGTGGGATCAGGTGTACTCACCGAGTCCTTTAATGTGCTGTAATGACCTTTTGATCAAAGTCCTGCTGAAGGCCGGTTAATAAACATGCCGCTTAAGAGCCGTCACTGGAGGAGGGAGAGCCCCAGAAATCCTTTCCCTGGGTGACTGCTGTCAGCAGTGGCACCCACAACAAATAGCGAGGAGATTGCTCTTTGGGAACATCAGGGTTATTGTGTCCTTGCACTCCTTGAGAGACGAGGACGACGAATGTGGGTGACCAAGTCACGCAGTTAGCAGTGGTGATAGGTGTTCAGCAGAAGTGGTGGCAAGATAGCGGAAACAAGCTGGGCAAGAGACAACTGAAAGTTTTTTAATCTAAGTCTTGACGCATCTCCCAAAAGTGTCTTGTGTGATGCAGTTATGAGCTTTTCTTGCTGTGAGAATCTAATGACTCAGTAGTTCAGGCTTCAGGTTTGTGAATACTGGGCCTGACTTTCAAGACTGCCTGCCAGAATCCTTGTTTCTTTGCCTTTGGCCTCTGAGGTTTTTTTGAATCTTCTATTCCTGTTTTGGAGGTGGTGAAAGCTGCAGGTGCTTGGCTGCTTTGTCAGTAAAGGTGTTGCTGAGGTATGGATTTATGTTCCCAATTAGCCTTATTTGGAGGTGGAAACCACGTATTGTCTAACAGTCGTGGCTGATGTGATGACCACCCAGTGCTGTCGACGGTGAATCACGCACACGATGAACCAGCTGGTTGCAGTTGACTAATCCAGAGTAACGGAAAAGCTCCTTTCATCTTTCTTTTTTCTCTTCCTGTGCAAGTTTTTTTTCTCACAGCTCCAGCTGATAAATTTTCCAGACTGCCTGGATGTTTCGGTTCTGGCCGTTCGGGGTTGCCCCCTGAATGCTGGGCTTTGGAAGGGGCACACGCAGTTTTTGCAACTGGGGAATTAGATTCCCCCCCTCCCCCCATCAGTGGACTGGGCTCAGAGGTGGCCAAGTGTGACCCACTCAAAGACTGACTGTGACTCTCGTCTCCCCCCCATATCCCTCAAAGGTTTTGAATGACACCTGGGTCTCCTTCCCGTCCTGGTCCGAAGACTCCACGTTCGTGAGCTCCAAGAAGACGCAATACGAAGAGCACATCTACAGGTGTGAGGATGAGCGTTTCGAGGTAAATTGATTTTCCTTGATTCGTGTCTCGGAAAGCTTGGGGCTCTGTAAAGAGTTAACAGTCTTGATGTATAATTACACCTTTAGTACTGCTGCTTAGAGTCTGTTTTTATTGTGTGTCTGTCACCTGTTTTTCGCTTAGAAGTTTGCGTTCTCTTAATGCAAGAAGCCGTGGCTGCGTAACCACCTCTTGCTCCAAGCTACCACCCCTGCCCCTCGCTTTTTGCACAGAGCTCTTCATTCACACCGCTCCAGATGAAATGGCTCAATGGCCAGCATATAATTGAGGCGTCTCTTCCATTCTTACTGCCCACGCAGCGCACGAGAACATGCATTCCCCTGTAATAATCTGAAAAGCGATACGTTCAGGATGTTAAATGATTGACATCTTGACTTGAAATGGAAGTTGGCTTGGCAATTACCTGAATATGCTGGGATTCAGCATGTCCTTTTGTAGAGTAACTGTCAGTTGTGTTCTGTTCCCAGGTGGAAACTATAATTTCCTAACAGTATCATTCTGGTAGCCTTTAAATTCTTAGGCAGTATTATCTAGGAAGCAGATAAAATATAATTGCGTTATTTTAAAGCAGCCCAACGTGGAAACCAGGGCTTGAGAACATCTTGTTAAACATGCACGGCTTCTTGTTTCGTGTCATTTAAATGTTACCCTCTGTGAAGTATCATGTTTTATCTATTCAACGATGGCTAATGCACTGTTCGCTTCAGCTGGATGTTGTCTTGGAGACCAACCTGGCAACGATCCGCGTCCTTGAGGCAATCCAAAAGAAACTCTCGCGCTTGTCTGCCGAGGAGCAGGCCAAATTCCGGCTGGACAACACTCTGGGTGGCACTTCGGAGGTGATCCACCGCAAGGCTCTCCAGAGGATATATGCTGACAAAGCAGCCGACATCATTGATGGACTTCGGAAGAACCCATCCGTGGCTGTTCCCATTGTCCTGAAAAGGTACTGACGGCTCTAGCACCCTGCCGCGGGGGCTCTGCTGAAGGGTAACGCACCATACTTGATCCAGATTTATGTAGAAGTAGCTAATTTCTGCCGCTAAAGGGTGTGACCTCCACAAGGCTGTAAATTAAGAAGTGCATTTGATGTTCTGGTCGGTTGCTGGATTTCATAATAATCATCAAGAGAGAGGGAATTACCCTTCTGAAACAAACACCTTACCAGCTCAGCTGGAGGGATGCAGAGCTTTTGTTTTCTCCTTTTAAACTTTATTTGTTCCCCAGTGTCAGTGTCATGTGTAAGGTGAGGAAACTGTATTGTGTGGCTTGATCCAGGGCTAAATTTGATCCCTTTCCAAGTTCCGCGGCTGTACCTGGCCGTGGGCTCAGACTGCGGTGGCTGTGGTGCCCTCAGACTCCCAGTCCAGTTTCTGTTGTCAGCCTTCCCTTCCTCGGTCAAGAAAAGGATGCTGCAGGTCCTTGGGGAAGCTGGAGGAGATGTGGAAGGAGGAGATACACTTCTCATCACTGCGGGACTCACTCCTGCATCTCAGGGCTCTGAGAGCCGGGGGTAACAGCCTTACCCAGGATCCCTGCAAGGTCACAGCTTCCCCACCCTGCTCTTCCTCTGAGCTGAGTCTTGAGCTGCGTCGGGTGCTTTGCTTAAGATGCGGAGTTGAGGTCCAGGAGTCTGTTCCCAGGAAGCTCAGGTGGCTGCAAGGCAGTAACTTTGTTGATCATCCAAACCAAGCTGCTCCTTGTCATCAGCTAGAGCTGCCTGACTTTCTGGGGATTTCTGGGGGAGCTGGGGCAGCTCTTGTGGCTCTCCGGTCCGGGGAAGCGCCAGCCTTCAAGCTGCTCTGTTCCTGAGCTGTGTTCCTTAAACATGAGAGATGTCCGGAGGGGTTCATTCAGAAGAGCATGCGCAGGGCCCCCTGCTGTAAAGCCCCATTCAGTGGGACAGCTTTCGTTTATGCCTGTTTCATGAGGAGTTCGTCTCTCCTCAGCACTGGCCAGGAACCACGGGCCTAGGTTTTCCTTACATGCTCAGAGTGGGACCTTTATGTGTCTTAGTTCACCTTTGTTTTCTTGATCCAAGGTTAAAGATGAAAGAGGAAGAGTGGCGAGAAGCCCAGAGAGGATTCAATAAAGTCTGGCGAGAGCAGAATGAGAAGTATTACCTGAAATCCTTGGACCACCAGGGCATCAACTTCAAGCAGAATGATACCAAGGTCCTGAGGTCAAAGAGTCTCCTCAACGAGATTGAAAGCATCTATGATGAGGTGAGATGGTCACCAATAGTTTCCTTCCCTCAAGCTTTTGTAGTTTGCAAGTGCTGTTTCAGTTCCCATTCCTCACCGCTCAGTGAGAGAGGAAGTCTGCGCCACTGGCAGAGCTTTCTGAAAGGCTTTTGGGTAGAGAAAGGTGTTTGGGGCTAATTGCTGCGCTGTGTTTCTCATTTGTAGAGGCAAGAGCAGGCTTCAGAAGACAATGCTGGAGTCCCCACAGGCCCACACCTATCGCTAGCCTATGAAGACAAGCAGATCCTGGAGGACGCTGCCTCTCTCATCATCCACCATGTGAAGCGGCAGACGGGAATCCAGAAAGAGGACAAGTACAAAATCAAGCAGATCATGTATCACTTCATTCCAGACCTGCTGTTCGCTCAGCGAGGTGAACTCTCGGATGTGGAAGAGGAGGAAGAAGAGGAAATGGATGTGGATGAATCTACTGGGGCTGCGAAAAAGCACAACGGTGTTGGGGGTAGTCCTCCCAAAACCAAGCTGATGTTCAACAACACGACGGCCCAGAAGCTGCGGGGCATGGATGAGGTCTACAATCTCTTCTACGTGAACAGCAACTGGTACATATTCATGCGGCTGCATCAGATCCTGTGCTCGCGGCTGCTGCGGATCTGCACCCAGGCCGAGCGGCAGATCGAAGAGGAGACACGGGAGAGGGAGTGGGAGAGGGAAGTGCTGGGCATAAAGCGAGACAAGAGCGACAGTCCTGCCATCCAGCTACGACTGAAGGAGCCTAGTGAGTGATTCTGGTGGGAGGCTGGGGAAGAAAGGTGCTTCTACTCGTAGCGTGTTGACAGGGCTTACTGGGTGTCTTCAGGCACGTTACAGCAGCGACCCGCTAAAATGGGAGGCTTTCTCTTTTATTATCGCTGGGCAGCACTGAGGTGAGGGAGGAGATGGGAAGGTGTAGTGTACGTGGGACTCGAATAGCAGAATGGTAATGTGCAGCAGTTGTTTCATAAGAGATTTCAGTTTGCACATTGGTATCTGAAGTATCCGTGAGCTCCCTAACTAAAAGCTGGTTTTAAAAGTCTTTCAGAAGTAAAGACCTCATGGAGAAGGCTAGATCTAGAAAGCAAGAAAATACGAAAGTCCCCCTGGCCTTAAAAGGACTCGTTTAAATGCCTATAAAAGGCAAACTTAAGTCTATTCCAGTAACTCTTCACCTTGACAGGGTAGTCTGAGGACCAAAACTCAAAGCAGCCCTGCCTGGCTGTGGTGTGCTCATCTCTTCCATTCTCTCTTGTTGCAGTGGACATCGATGTTGAGGATTATTACCCAGCCTTCCTGGACATGGTGCGCAATCTCCTGGATGGGAACATGGACTCGTCGCAGTACGAGGACTCCTTGCGCGAGATGTTCACCATCCACGCCTACATCGCCTTCACCATGGACAAGCTGATCCAGAGCATTGTTCGACAGGTGACTGCCAGCAAAAGCTGGAGGGCGGGTGGTCCGGCGTAGAGAAAGTAGCCGGGTTGTTTGCTGCGGTGAGAGCCCAGGCCCACATTGGAGGGGGAGTGTAGTATGCCTACATTGGCAATTTCAGGGGTAAGTAGGTAAATTCCGGGTGTTTTGTAACCTAGCTCTAACACTGCTGTAGAGAGACATGATAAAAGGTAATTCCTGATGTATTTAAATTCTTGAGAATATCCTCTCTGTGCATATAGAGTTCTCCCTTTGTTTTCCAGGAGTTTTAGGATATAAGTATTCAACTTCAAAGTGTCTCCAGAGTTAATCTTGCTTTAACTTTGAAAATTAATTACATGGCATTTAAATATAATTTCCTTCCTTTTCACCAGTGTTGCAGGAGCAGCGTGTGCCTCTTCGAAAAAGCTTTGTCTCTCTTATCTGGCTGTTTGAGTAGCTCGGTTTGGCTGTTAAGCTCTAGTCCTTTTATTAGGCTGGTAGGAAGAACGTGTGACCCAGGGAAAACTTCTCCGTGCGCCTTTTTGTAGCGGAAAGAACAAAAACCCACACAAGGGGCTGGGAGTGGAATGGCTTGAAAGGCCTTTCCTGGTTCTGAAGGGTAGAGCTGCTTTTCAGAAGCCGTGTACCTTCAGTCCAGAGATCAGCTGAATTCAAAAGACACTCGAGCAACTTGATTTTTAAACTGGTACAAAATAAGGATTTGATGCTGAGTCTCCCCTGCCTCTCCCCAGACGCAGCAGCAGCCCCGTGCTGTGGAGGGGATTCACGAAGTCACGGTGCTGTAGCCTTTCCTCCCCTGCTGCTGAGCAGGATGTTCCCTGCCCGCAGGTTTTCTCTGAGTAGCTATACTTTGCCACCTGCTAATTTTTTTAAAGTTACTGTGTTCTTTTACATAGCAGCAGAGATCATCTACAGCTGAAAGAACTTACTAAAATGTGGCCTTGGACTCCTGCTTTTTGAGCCCTTTTGTTTGGTTGTTTTTTTTGCTTGGGCTTAAACCCACGGTTACAACTTCCCTTCTTGCTGTTCTGGGCTGAGGGGCGTGTAGCGGACTCCCTGACGAACACCTTCCCCGCGCTCTTCCTTTTTGCAGCTGCAGCACATTGTGAGCGATGAGATCTGCGTGCAGGTAACAGACCTCTACCTGTCGGAGAACAACAATGGCGCAACAGGAGGTCTCCTCGCTTCCCAGTCTTCTCGTACCCTTCTAGAGGCCGCGTACCAGCGCAAAGCCGAGCAGCTTATGTCAGAGGAGAACTGTTTCAAGGTAAAGCCGGGCTGCCAACCGCGGGATAAAAGCAGCGCAAGCAGTGAGGATCCCCCTGGAAAGGCACCAGTCCTTTAAAAAAGGAGCCTTGTTTAGGCATCCAGGAGCCCTGAGGACTTTATGTACCTCTGAAAGTTGAAAGGAAAGTTTTGGTGGCATGTCCCCAGCTTTTGGCACGTAGATTAGTGCTTCTGTAAGGGCCCCTCAGAAGCGAGGTTTCAAGGAGAAATATATTTCCTGGAACAGCAATGAATATCCCTTGCGCTTCACAACATTTTTGGGTTGTATCATATTGACTGCTTTGCTGTCACCGGTTTTAATTTACTAGCTCCAACTCTCCCATTTCTCTTATGTCGACGGGGGCGGGGGGGGGAGGGGAATCTGCTAATGCTGGCTGGGCATTAAATCATTGCTGTCTGCATACATTGCTAAATAAACCTGGTGCGCTCTGCTAATCAAATCCATACTGCCCTCGCCTGAGATGCAGGAAGTGGCCAGGCCCTTTCTGAGCCAGTAAAGCACTTTGGGTAAAAGTCTCCATGTCTCGTCTCTCTTCCCTTGCCCACAAGCTTATTTTGGGGGCTCAAGAAGGACCCGCACCGCTCCTGAAACAACAGAAAAAAGAAAGATTTTCAAAAAGCTTTACAATTTTTCTGTTCCTCAAAGATTGTGCGGTTTGGCTAGTGTTTTCCCTTTGCTGTCAGGCATGTGGGAAGCACAGTGTTTTCCCTTAAAACGATGCCAAGTTGCTTCATTCTCCCTTTGCCCCAGTAAGAAGTGGAGGTTGTTTTTTCTATTTGAAACCTTTTAGTGAAGTCCCTCCTGCCTTTGCGTTATAGCTGATGTTCATTCAGAGCAGAGGTCAAGTTCAGCTAACCATTGAGCTGCTGGACACAGAAGAGGAGAACTCCGATGACCCTGTCGAAGCAGAGGTAAGAGCAGCTTGTCCAGAGCAGGCTGTGATGGTCAGGGGTGCACTGGGCAAGGGTGTCCAGTTGGCTGCTGTTGTGGTCCGCTAGCACAAGATAAGGAAACATCAAGGACACACCGTAAAGCTTTCGGTGATGTGACCAGGCAAGTCCTTCTTGGTTTATTTTGTGCTAGAAAACCCTCAAAACAATATAGAGAAAACTGCGTTTTGGGGGATAAGATGCATGGAGCCTTCAAAAGTGACCTTGTGTTCATCCGTATAACTTCCAGCTTATCCTTGTTAGCTATCCCCTGTTGTTTGGTGGGAAGGCAGTGGCTGATCTGTGCTCTGTGCTCGCTTCCAGCGCTGGTCGGACTACGTGGAGCGGTACGTCAACTCTGATTCTACCTCCCCTGAGCTCCGGGAGCACCTGGCCCAGAAACCGGTCTTCCTGCCAAGGTGAGCGGCCAGGCCGTGCCATGAACCCTACCCAATGGGCTCTATCTGGCCGTAGAGAGCAGAGCGGCTGCGCTCCATCGCAGCACTGGGCGTTCAGTCTCGCCTGTGTTTTACTGCTGCAACAGAAGCAGTTACCCCAGCAGCGTGGTGTCGAGTCATCCTAAAAGCCTGTGGGTCCACCCCAGGCTCCTGCTCTCCAGTGACTGAGAGATGGCATGGTCTGCAGGTCGGGGAGAGGGTGAGGGCTGGTGGCTCGCCAGATTGGGTTTTTGGCAGTCCTGCCATGGCTTGCAGTAACCTTCTGCCTGAAAGCAGCGGGTGCCACGTTGGGGCTTTTCATGAGCAGGGAGCTGATGGCATGATATCCGTGATTTCAGAAATAAGATAAACCCAGTGGGCTGACTCGCTGTAGGGGTCTGAGCCCAAGTGACTGCAACGGGCAGTTGCGCTCCAAGCTGTTTGCCAGGCTTTTGAGGGGCCAGCACAGATCCACCAGCTACATCCAGCCTAGTAGTGCTAGAGGGTGAGCCCTAATTCCAAGAGAGGTTCTCTGGTTTGCAGGAATCTGAGGCGGATCCGTAAGTGTCAGCGTGGTCGGGAGCAGCAGGAGAAGGAAGGGAAGGAGGGAAACAGTAAGAAGTCCATGGAGAGCGTGGAGAGCTTGGACAAGCTGGAGTGTAAATTCAAGCTGAACTCCTATAAGATGGTGTACGTGATCAAATCGGAGGACTACATGTACAGGAGGACTGCTCTGCTGCGAGCTCAGCAGGTAGGAGTGAGCGGAAGGACTGGGGTGGGCAGCCGGTGTTTCCCGGGCCCCCCTGCTCCCAAAGGTGAGGTGGGCAGAGTCAGGTGAGACATCCCTGGGGATCCCGCTTGGTGACATTGAGCGGTCGTTGCGTTGCCAGGAGGATGGTGTGCTGTTTTGCCCTCCTGAGACACTAAAGACCTTCTGAACGTTCCTGGGGTGTAATCTTTTCTCCTTCCACCTCTAACTCTCATCGCCCTCCCACCTCTCCTCCCTTCTCTCCAGAGAGTTTTACTGCTGTAGGACAGTGGTTTCGACCGTTGGCTCTCACATTTCTTCCAGGAGGTACTTCCCATGGGTGGCGTTTCCCCCATTTTAGGGAAGACTTGTTATCTTTGTGGTGGTGTGGTGGCATGCGAGAGTGCCTGTCCTGCCAGGGCTTCCCCAAAGAGGACTCAGAGCGCAAACATCAAATGCCTTCTGTCCCCCGCAAACATCAAATGCCTTCTGTCCCCCCCAAACATCAAATGCCTTCTGGGTACCATCTCCTTGTTGTTTCCAGTCCCCCCAGTCATGGAGAGCGGGAGTCCTCAGGTCGATCCCGCGTGGCAGAGCGCAGCCAACATGCGACTGCAGCTCCAGAAAAAGCTGCATTTGTGGCCAAGATGGGAGCGGTGAGGTCACCCATACAGAAAAATCCCCATGGGTGTTCTTCCGGGACCCAAGAGAGCAGTCTGACATCTCCCATCTAGCCGTCAACGCTTGCGACTGCCAATTTAAATTGGAATTTGACTTCTTGAAGTTACTTAAATTTGCTCTTGGTTCTTTGTGCCAAACGTAACTGTTGGGGCAAGGGAAGGAGGATGTGGCTGGGATAGGTGGGGAGGCAGGGGAGCAGAGATGCTGGAGGGGATGGAGGCTCTGGCCTTCAGGCTGGCTTTCAGCTGTAAAGGTTGGGGTTCATTCAAGATGAAAACGGCCTGTGACTCCAGATCGGCCAAATTCAGGAGGATTTTGGACTTCTGAATGCTTTGACACTATAATCTATTTAAAACACGTGAAGCAGAATACCATTGCTTGGATTGTAAAAAGAAAGTGAAACCTGCTAGATTCAGGCAAAAGTCACTGACTTAAGCAATGAGAAGCAGCAGTACCCAAGCGGCTCTGTCAGCAGTAGCCTCTCCTGCAGCTGCAGAGGGCATTTTCAGTTTATGGAATTATTGGCTTTTCTGAGCAAATGACTGAGCACTGAGAAAATTCCCTGGGAGGTGAGGGAGTGGGAGAGGTGCGCACTGCTTCCTGCCTAGTAAGTCATCCTTCACAGCTCCCTTTTGGTCATGTACTTAGACTTAGAAAACAACTACTTACATTCCATTTCTTGCTGATGAAATACAAATCATGGTTTTATTTCATTAGCTGTAAAGTAATTGTGTTAAACTTGCATGCACATTAGATGAGAGTGTTTAATTCCAGTAGTGACTCTCTGAAATGCCGATACTGAGGATTTTGATGGAATTCCATCTATCCCATTCAACCGGCACAAACCTCGAGGAAAAGTAACCTCGTGAACAGGACAGTACGTGCCAGTGCTTTTCACAGAGAATATGAGCAAAAGTCAGACTACTGAACTGTTAAATATATAGCATGCAGCCTAGCCCCTCGGTTACAGAAGTAGGCCACAGGAGCTGCGGAAGCTACCCTGGACTACAAATCTACTGGACTTAACAGCTAACACTGAGAAGCCTCTGGGAGGAGAACAAAACAAATAATAAAATGCATAACTTTTAATCTTGAGGCTCAATTATATTTGCTGGGTTCAGTTATGACTGTAGCTCGTCAATGTCAATTATGACATGGCTTGAAAGCCGTGGCTGTAAACCATCTGTCTGGGATTTTGCATTCCTGAAGCAGATGCTCTTACTCAGGATGAGTGCCGTTTTTCCTCTCCCAATGCTTCTGTTAAGCCAGAGCTCGTAGTCCTGACCTAGTTCTTAGTTTTCCATAGCTGTTGGGTCTCCGGACCTGTGTAATGCCTGTTGAGCTTGCTCCCTCCTGGGACTGTGCCCCTCCATGGGGGGCTGGAGGCAGGCCCCGAGGGCTGGGGAGAGCAGGGCCTGCCTGCTCTGGGGTCTGCCTTGGCTCCTGGCTGCTGCAGGAGGAGGAGGAGGAGGCAGCACCCTTTGAGCAGTGCAGAAGGGATGCAGTGCTGAGCGTGCAGCTCTCGGGCTCCTGCGGGATATGTTTTGTGTCCCCAGCCTGAGACCCACTGTATTAAACAAAAAGCATAAATCTCTTGGTATTCCCAAGTTCGTTTTGCCACTGTAATTGCCTTGGAGAGGAGGTCAGGGGGCCTTTATCGCAGCTTTTCCTCTGTTGGCCCATGTCTGCGTTACAAATTCCCTCTGGCTGTTGATCCCCTTGGTCGCATCGACCACCAGCCGAGCTTTGCGTAACGCTGCAGTCTGGGGGCTGAAGCTGCCTTCTTGTAACACCTCTTACTATTTCTGTAGTCCCACGAAAGAGTCAGCAAGCGGCTGCACCAGCGGTTCCAGGCCTGGGTGGACAAATGGACCAAGGAGCACGTGCCCCGCGAGATGGCAGCCGAGACAAACAAGTGGCTGATGGGCGAAGGGTTGGAGGGCTTGGTGCCCTGCACCACCACGTGTGACACAGAGACCCTGCACTTTGTGAGCATTAACAAGTACCGCGTCAAATACGGCACGATATTCAAGACGCCGTAAGACTCCCCCGGGGCGAGGGAAGAGCCCGGGAGGTGTGTGTGTGTGTGTGTGTGTGTGTGTGTGTGTGTGCGCGCATTCGGGAAAGGAGGAAGATGCCTTTCTCCCCTCCCCGTGTATCTCCGTAACGTGGCCACTCGACTAGTGCGTGGCTGGTACAAGCCGTCACCAGCGGGATTCCCTGTGGGGACGCGGTCTCTGCCGGCCCTTTGACTTCGGCGCGCGTCCCCGGAGGGCGGCAAGGACCCTTCTCTGAACTTGAGCCATCCCAGAGAAACACAGCGAGCTCGTACACACCAGCAGTGCTGAGGCTTTGAGGCCCCAAGCGGAGAGGGAAGAGGACTGGAGGCTCCCCACCGCTTGGATGTGTCCCCAGGTGCCTGTCGCGACCGGATTCTCCTCCCGCTGGGCTCCCGTGCGGGGCCCTGGGGCAGCCCCATGCCACCTCACAGAGCGGACCCTGGGCTCCTCGCCTCCCTCCCGGGCTGGACTCACCCCGTGCAGATCGGTCTGTCCATTCTAGTGCCAGTGGAACTGTTTTATTTTATTTTAATTTTTTTGTTTTTTTAACTGCTTGTTTACTAGTCTCTCCTAGTGCCATGCACCAGCTTTTCACACACATGTACGTACACACACACAACAGAGAACAACACGATTTTAACATGTTTCCTCCTTTTTTGTAAATAAATGTACAAATTGTCAATTTTGGGGGTTTTTTTTGGTTTTGTTTGGTTTGTTGGTTTTTTTTTTTAATTAAAGGAAGTATGCTTGATGTGCTAGCATAACTGTACTAGCTTCTTGTGTACCATAGTACCAGGTGGCTTGAGAATTAGTACCGACAGACAGACCGACGAAGACATTTATTACACTTTTTACCAAAGGGAGTTATCATTGTAGTGCTTTTGTGTGGAAACTTTTTTCTCCTTTTTTTGTAAATAAAAATAATGTCTTTGTTCTTAACTGGAGGAAGACAGTCGCTCACCCACAGCCCTGTTCCGGGTCTGAAAGGCACCGTGCAGCATGCAGTTTTTGGGGTGGGGAAGGGCAGGGGGGGGACATCCCACCATTTTATATGATCGGCTTCACAATCTGAGAGGAAAAAGCAGAGGCAGTGTGTGTTGTGCAGTTAGCAAAACCGAGGTATAAGTGGCCTGTTAAGATATATAAATATATAGTATATAATTTTTAATTTTTAAGATTTTTCTTTCTCTTGGTGGGTAGTTTTTATCCACCCAGTCTTCCAGCTCCAAGGACCTTCGCTTTTGGGAAGTGTTGCTGAGCTACTGATTGTGCTGATGTATTTTTCCCTCTCAGTATTGGAGAAAACATCCTGTGAAGTACCCAGCCAGTATTTGACAGAGCTGCT